TTTCAGATATTTTTTATTTCTTCAAATTTGTTATTTACCAGGAGTGACTGAAATAAAAAATATAATTGGGTCCCATCATCATGGAAATGGCTTTAAGAGAAAACTGGTCCAGTGAATATTATTGCTTCCCATTTCAACCAGTAAGTAGTTGCCATTGATAAATAGACAGCCAACAGTCTGTCAAGAATGCTCAAGATATGTGATATAATACAACATGCCTGTTCACAGAGGGAGAAAAACTAGGAAATAACTTATGTGAACTTCTTGATCTCATCATACAAGACAAGCACAAAAGCACCACCCATGCCTCTGAGGACATTGGACCACGCGCCTTTGAAAAAGGCTTTGGCTCCTTCATCACGAGCGATCTTCCGCCAGCAGTCAAGCGTGCCTGTGTACATGATATCAGCTGCAAAGAACAAAGACAAGGAGTTGGTGACCCCAGGCTGATGAAAAGGCCCTACGTTTACTAGACTAAACCAGAGCCCCACCTTATCTAAAAGCTAATGTCAGTTCAGAAAAAAATCAACACTTAAACACTGGTGTGGGTAATACTGAAATATCAATCTGGTGACTAGAGAACAGGGGTATGTAGACTAACTCTTAGTAGTCTTAACCTCTAACACCCTCATCATAGGCATCCAAAGGGCCCACTCAGACCTAACTGTGCAGTACACACAGACCAATCAACCCCACCCGCGATCTCCAGACTGACGTTTTTAAAGTCAGGTATCACTAGTTTGTGCCCATGTCCCATATCTATCTTCTGCTCAAGTGGAACTTACTTCCTTTGCGCCCTGACTGCATCATCATGCGGCGACGCACGGTGTCAAACGGATAGGAAGTCAACCCAGCAACCGCTGTGACAGACTGTGCAATCATCCAGCTGATGAAGATATGAGTATTCTTGGGATCTGGAAGCATTCCTGAGAATCGGAAAGAAACACTTTTACCAGAAAGCAGTCTCCCTGACTTGTTTTCCACACCCCCCACCCTCAAGATCTCCTCTGTACACAAGGGCTGTACGGGATGACCTTGACTTCCTTCAGCAATTACAAAAAGAAAAAAAAAAGCAAAAAACCCCTTTGGTTCCTGGAAAATTAGGATGGCAAATGATATTTTAACACGTCGATCGCCACGTCACCCAAATCTGGGTGACAGTTGTTTCTTCAGGGGTACCTGATTCACAGTGGGCGATCAACATGTTAAATGGTCTCAGAAGAACAGTATCAAAGCACACAACAAACTTACCCTTCGCAGTGTCATAGATACCAAAGTAGGCAGCTCGGTAGATGATAATACCCTGCACAGACACGTTAAAGCCTTGGTATAGGCCCTTAATCCCATCAGATTTGTAGATCTTAACCAGGCAGTCACCAAGGCCTCTGAATTCCCTTTCAGCTCCAGCTTTGCCCACATCA